CAGACCCTGCTGCAGCGTGAGGCCATTTCCTCTTGTCCTGTTACCAAGGGAAATAGAGGAGCTGCATTCAATCAGAAATGTATAATACCCCTTCACGTGGGACCATGCATGAACGATACTAAGTAGTAATTATTGGTGGGCCAAAAGGGAACAGAGCACTATGTGGGGGGTGGGGGGAGAGTTTTTCCAGGAGATTGCGGTAGACCCACAGAACATTTATGGATGTCACATTTGAGGTTTTGACTCGTAGCAAGAAAACCAGGCGATCTGTGTACCTGGTTATTTGTAGTTCTGTTGAGGGACCAGCTCGCATCGTGTACACTTTCTGACTGGTGTCCATTGTGAGTCGTCTAGAGGCTGAGATTTTGGTTTGTTCATGTGGGCGCCCAGGCACTGAGCCACGTCAGCCAAATGGCCTCCTTCTTTCATTAATGTCACACTGACAAGTCCCATGTTGATCCTGATGCTCCTAGGGAAGCTCTTTAAGAACCTCTGCCCCATAGATAAGCAACAAGGTCCCACTGTATAGCACAGAGAACCATATTCAATATTCTGTGATAAACCATAATAGAAAAGAATATTTAAAAAATGTGTATATATGTATAACTGAGTCACTTTGCTGTACCACAGTAATTAACACAATGTTGTAATTCAACTATACTTCAACAAAAAATACATTAAAAAAACATTCTCATTAGGCAGTGCTTTTGAATTTATATTTTAGGACAGAAGGCAAATACAAGTAATTTAAATTAGAAAACTTGCTCAGTTTCATCTCGCTAGAGCAAATGGCGAATTTCACAGAAACAGTATCTGCGTCAATTTTAGCTCCAATTTGGAAGTCTTTTCAGAACAATCTAATTGTATATTTCTAAGTTGAATAACAGAGTTCTGTTCAATTCTCTCTATCGCTGAGGGGTCTGGATAAGGGATCAAAGGCTAAGGACGGCAAAACAGGTGCCAGAGATCCAGGGATCCTGTAAAGGGAAGCGAGGTCCCGGGCGCTAAGATTGTGAAGCTGGTGTTACAGGTGAAGGGAACGAGCAGGCCAAGGAGGGCAAGGGCTGGCGAGGAAAGAGGCCCAGGCGCTCGAGCGACTGTGCGGCCTCCCCTCCCGCCCTGCTGCTTCTGCTCACTTCCACCAGCTCCTCTGAGACCCCCTGCAGAGACGTGACCGCTTAAAACTGAGCACCCAGGAGGCTCCCCTTAATGCTCCTCAGGTCGGGGGGTTTCACAACGGACACGTGGTCTGTGGGCATAAGCACACATTACTTTATAAAACTGGGCAGGGAAGCCCGATGCTATGTGCATTTGTGCAGATGAGCGCTGTGCTATCACAAAATCTTTTGCGAACTGATGGTGTTGACTTTTAGCATCCCCAATAATAAATTAGTATTTGCCCTTTCGTGACAACTTTGTTAAAATAAGATTTCTGTCTTTGCCTTCTCGATCCAGTTCTCACTATGGGGCTCGCAAAACTTATTCAAACTTTGTATATAAACCTGAAAGTACAAAAATGTGGACGAACATTTTATGAAATTGATGACGTTTCAGTGGATGCCTGGTGCTGGGTATCGTGTGCAGTGATATGATCGTCCGGAGGAGGGCGCTGTGGTACCGCGTTTACTCGTGTGCTGTTTGGTGAATTCCTGAGTGGTCCCTGAGACGATTTGTAAAGGAAAGTAGCAACGTTTGCTGGTCCTTTTACACTCCACTTCTTAAAACGCTGCTGAGATTAGGAAGTGACAGCTTCAGAGCTTCTATTGTCTGGAACTAAAAGGAGTTTGGTTCATCCCTGTCAGCCTCGCTGATATTTTTCTATTTGAGGCTCATTACTTTTGAAGAATGTGTTTCAGCCACTTCATCAAAACGCTCCTTAGATTGAAGAAGATTCACTTTTTTTTTTTTGCGCTTCGCGGGCCTCTCACCGTTGTGGCCTCTCCCGTTGCGGAGCACAGGCTCCGGACGCGCAGGCTCAGCGGCATTGGCTCACGGGCCCAGCCGCTCCGCAGCATGTGGGATCTTCCCGGACCGGGGCACAAACCCGTGTCCCCTGCATCGGCAGGCGGACTCTCAACCACTGCGCCACCAGGGACGCCCGAAGATTCACTTTTTAAGAGTTTTTCCCAAAGCCAGACTTACAAGTGAGGGTTGATTTGGTATGAATATTTTAGTATGAAGGTATCACCATCTGCTTGGAACGTTTAGGGAATTTGAACATGTAAAGCTGCCCTTCTGCACCATCCTGCACTTTTTATCTGATTATACTGGATACTGAGGTAATCCAAGAAATAGTTATTAAATCACAAAATACTATTGCCAAACAATAATTTGTGTGATAATAGAACAGAACATTATTCAGATTAACATAATAAATCAATAACAAAATGAAATTTTAAAAATCAATCTTTCACACCTATGATGTGAAGTTTTGATAAAAGCTAAGATGCACATCCTGAAATCTTCTCAATTCAATATTAATTAAAAATAGATTTTAGATTGAAGCATCTGGTTTCCCCATAGCTTCATCACTAAGATTTTTCCATTATTTACTTAGAATAATATATAAAATATAGTTTGTTGGAAAAGAAAGTCCAAGATGAGGTACGAATGGTTAGTTGGCTCTAACAGACTCTGTAAGGAAAACTGATGACTAACTGGCCAGCAAGAGAGGAACAGATAGTGTTTGCAAATAAAACATTTATTTCTCTAAAATGTTTAAGAAGCTTTCTAGAGGGTCATGATCAGACTTAAAGCATTGTGCTCTCTTACAAATGAAATGATAGGACCTTCACATTCAGACCGGAAGGGAAGTTAGGAGGCTTCTATTTGATCCTATCAGGAATGGCATTTGACAGCCAGGAACAGAGTCCTGAGAAATAATGGCTCAGTCAGACAGGGCTTTCTTTCCTTCGCATATGACTGGCAGCTGGAAGGGAGCTGTGGCCGATTGGCTGAGGTCTCTCTGAGTCTCAAGACTTTTCCTCAAGGTTGCAAGATGACTGTTGGGGCTTTTACCATTAATTAGGAATTCCTAATTAATAGCAAAGGAGAGAAAATGAAGGAGGAAGGGGCAGTTCCTGTGTCAGGAAGACAAATACTCAGCATCCCAGGAGATAGCCACTCACATCTCACCTGTAGGAAACAGTCCTTGTCACCTCTGCCAGGAAGGTGGGAAAGCAGCTTCAGCTGGCACAGTGCCAACCCTCAGAGGCTTAGTCTGTTAATGCAGGAAAAGGAGAGGAGTGTATTCACCACCACACCTCTCTGTCACATCTCTGACTCTAAGGAAGATGAGGCACCTGGGCCTGGAAAGACCAAAGGCTTCAGCCATGTCTCAGAGCTGGTGGCAGAGCCAGGGCTTCATGGAGCATGATGGTGGGGTGGGATGGGAAAGGAGTGTGTCTTCTGAAGCTCTAAGAATTCTGCTTTAGCAAGAGCATAACAGGTAAAGAATGTGACGAATCATAGCAGCACTATTCACACTACTAGCCGAGATATGGAAGCAACCTAAATGTCCATCTACAGAGGAGTGGGTAAAGAAGATGTGATATATATATCATACACACACACACACACACACACACACACACACACACACACACACAAATGGAATACTACTCAGCCATAAAAAAGAATGAAATAATGCTGTTTGCAGCAACATGGATGGACCTAAAGATTATCATACTAAGTGAAGTAAGTCAGACAAAGACAAATATGATATCACTTACATGTGGAATCTAAAAAAAGATACAAATGGACCTATCTACAAAACAGAAATAGACACACAGAAATAGAAAACAAAACGTTTGGTCACCAAAGGGGATAGGGTGGGAGAATGGATAAATTAAGAGTTTGGGATTAACAGATACACACTACTATACAGAAAACAGATAAACAACAAGGACCTACTGTATAGCACAGGGAGCTGTAATATCTTGTAATAATCTATAATGGAAAAGAATCTGAAAAAGAATATATATATACATTTACATATATATAAAACAGAATCACTTTGCTGTACACCTGGAACTAACACAATATTGTAAATCAACTACAATTTTTAAGAAAAAAGAATGTAAAGAATCATGGATTACTGAAATAATCCATGATCTAATAAGATCATAGTGGTTTGATTTTCCTATAGAAATATGCAAAGAAAAATAAAGATCAATCCTAACACAGTAATCAAGTGATAGTGTCGCTGTCAAGGCATTAAAATTTTGTTTGGTAGCAAAAATTTCATTTGAGAGCCTATTACTTCAAAGTAAATAATGGAGATGTTCCCTCATGTAATCCTTGACTTCCTACTATAAACACTGTGGCCCTCCCCCTCTCGAGGGCTGAGGGGGCAGCCCTCAACTTTCTGAGGAGTGTGACTTGGGTACAGTGGTTGTGACAGTAGTGGCAGCAGAAAAGCAAGGCTGCTCTGGAAGGGGTTGCAGCTGACCTCCCATTGCCGGGAGGATAACATCTGTCTTCTAGGAGAAGAGTTGTGAACAGATGTTGACTTTCTCTCACAGATATCATTCAGCCACTCAAATACTTGTTAAATTGACACATTCAAGAATGCAACACTGTATCAGGTTATGTATTAATCCAAGAAGAGACTATGTATTACTGCTTATAACTTAGGGCCACAGAGAAGTAATATGCAGACACCTGAGTGGAAATGATATCTGAAAATTGTACAGTATTAAAACTGGCCCCTTCGTGTTACAGACAAGGGAACAACAGGGTAGCAAACCAGGAATGACCTAATTTAATTCATTTGGAGAATAGGAATTTTTTTTTCATTTTAATGTATGCTTGTTATAACTCCACGGGTTATGATTTCAGATCTTTTCAAACACAAAAGACTTATGTGATATTATAGTGTCATCTAAAATGACAGCTCTTCAATGTTTTCCCTCGATTCGTGATTTATGCCTGGGGTATAAATGGGGAGCAACATTTACGGGTTGGGGATTCAGGTGCGTGTGATTCATTTGTAATTGCAGTGGGAGAAACTGCAGATGACCAGGAGTGAGAGGAGGAAGATATTCTGCTCTGTCACCTTCCACGTCATTGCCATCACCTGCGTGGTCTGGTCTTTGTACGTGTTGATTGATCGGACAGCGGAGGAAATCAAGCAAGGCAATGATAATGGTAAGAGCA